TCTAGGGTTTTGAGGGGATTGGGGATTTTAGGTTTCAAGGGCTTTGGGGGTTTGGCTTTTTAAGGTTTCGAAGGTTTGGGGTTTTGGGTGTTCTAGGTTTCCGTGGCTTTAGGTTTGAAGCCTTTAAGGCTTTGAGGGTTTAAATAATTATTATTCTAGGGTTTTGAGGGGATTGGGGATTTTTGGTTTCAAGGGCTTTGGGGGTTTGGGGGTTCTAGGCTTCAGGGTTGTTTAAGGTTTTGGGCGGTTTAAGGGTTTTCGAGGTTTCGGGTTTTCGGGCTTTGATGGTTTGTGGTTTTGTGAGTGTTGCTGTCATTTGGGGTTTGTTGTGCCCTCTTTCGAGGGCTTGGGATTTCTGTTTATATATATATATACACACAAAATACTTCAATCGTACATACCTATAAGTCTATGGAAACTAGATGGAATTTCAGTGTATGTATGTATGTATATATATATATGTAGCTACATATATATATATATATAGCTAAATCATTCCTTTTCAAACGTTAGTAATCGTTTCAATCATTGCAATGCAAAATCTAATCATAGTTTCAAAAGTGATTCAATGTATACAATCGTAAACATATGGTATTTCACGTATAATATACAATATATCATATCTAAAAAATTCTGAAACAATCCATCAAATATATATATATATATATATATATATATATATATATGTATGTTAAAATTTCTAAGTAAATAGAAAAGTACATCCAGAAACAAACATATACAAACATAAGTGCAGTAAGCACCCATAAATAAAAAAAAGATAAATTACATGCTTGAAACATACATCACACCCTCCCCACCCCGTCCCAAAACCCAAAAAAGCGCCTAATTAACCATTCCCTTCACCTCTCAATCCACCCACCTCTTCCCACCCAGCCCCACCGCAGCACCACCAAAAAAAGCGCTTACATTGGCCAGCCCCAAAGACCCATCCCCTGCCATCCACCAAACATTATTTTCTCCATAAACAATTGGTGTTCGCCCGGCACCTTGAAAAAGGTGCCGGGTTTGATTAATCTGATCAGATTCTGATCAAATCTGATCAAATCTGATCAATCCTGATCAAATTCTGATCAAACAGTGGTTTGATCAGAATTTGATCAGATTTGATCAGATTTGATCAGATTTGATCAGATTTGATCAGATTCCACAGTTCCTGCCACCAGCCTCCCCCACCCGCCCCCCAACCCGCACCACCTAGCTTCCCGCCCTTCCCACCAACCCAACTTCCCCCCTTCCACCCACCAACCACAGTGGCAACCACCACCACCACCACCGTCCCCCCCTCCCCTTTCCCACACACTCTAAAGTTTCCAGCCCTTTGCCAAGGGCTTCAAACTTTTGTTGTGTGTCTTAGGGCTGGGGCCTAGGGTTATACAGGCTAGGCTTTTTGGGGCTAGAGGGTCTAGGGGGTTGTAGGGTTCTAAGGTTTAGGGTTTTCGTGTCTAAAACCCTGAACGGTTACAACCTCTGAAACACTAAACCCTTAACCCCTAAAACTCTAAATCACTAAGCTTTGAAACTTAAAACCTTAACCCCTAAAACCCTGAACCCTAAACCTCAAAACCCTTAAGAACCCCTAAAACCCGCAAAACCCTTCACCCCTAACACCTTTTACCAGAACCCTTAACCCCCAAGCCTTAAACCTTGAACCCCTAAAACCCTATCCCTTAAAAATCTGAACCGGTAACCACCAGAAACCCAAAAACACAGCAACCCCTAACCCCAGAAACCGTAACCGCCAGCCCCTGAACCCTAGGGTTTAGGGGTTAGGGTTTCGTGGGGTTTAGGGTTCAAGGGTCTAGGCAAAAGGGTTTGGTGGGGCTTAGGGTTTACAACCTAAACCCTTAAACCCCAAAGCAAACCCTAAGGTCAAGGGTTTAGGGTTTGGTGGGGTTTAGGGTTCAAGGGTTTAGGCAAAAAGGTTTGGTGGGGCTTAGGGTTTGAAGCCGAAACCCTTAAACCCTTAAGCAAACCCTAAGGTTAAGGGTTTGGGGTTTGGTGGGGTTTAGGGTTTAAGGGTTTAGGCGAAGTGGTTTGGTGGGGCTTAGGGTTTGAAGCCTAGACCCTCAAACCCTATAAAGCAAACCCTATAAGGTTAAGGGTTTAGGGTTTAAGGGTTTAAGCGAAAGGTTTTGGTGGGGCTTAGGGTTTGAAGCCGAAACCCTTAAACCCTAAAGCAAACCCCAAACCCCAGGGCCCAGCTGTTTTCGCTCGGATGGACAACGAGCTGTGTGAAGGGTGAGACGGGCCTGGACGTCGGGTTTCCACAATTATGCTACTATATTATATATATATATATATAGTGTCTACTATATATATATATATTATATATAGTTTAAATTTATAGTATATATTAGCATTACAACATATTAGAAGCTCTTAGCTTCTAACCCTAGAGGCCCGGGTCTAAAGCCTAAGCTTAAGCCTTTAGGGTTATGGGGTTCTATATTGTGGAAACCCGAAAAAACACTGCCGCGCCCTATTTCTGGGGCTGCAGTGTGAGGCTAGGTTGCAGCACCCTATTTCTAGGGGCTGCTTTGCGACTGTAGCACCCTATTTCTAGGGGCTACTGTGCTCTTGGCACGGACCCTTTTTCAAGGGCCCAAGGCCCTATTTCTAGGGCCTGCTGCCTTGCGAGGCGGTTACAAGTCTCTGCAGTCTATCATCTGACACAGAATTGCTTCCGTGGCCACACAGAGGTCTCGGAACACTCGCACACCGGGCTTCTTGGCCAGGTCCTGGTGCCGCTCTCTTTTCGTGGTGGTCGCGAACACCTTCAACCCTTTTTCAAGGGCTTCCTGCAGGATCACTGGATTGTCGTCCAGGATCAAAGAGCAGCCAAGACTGGTTGCCAGGGCGACTTTCCCGTTTGGCCCGCCCCTTTCAGGGCAGGTCCAAACCCCAGTCACCTGGTCCCGGATATTGGCTGCCTCCAGCATCCTGTACATCTCCTGCACTCTCGCCTCGTTGTGAGTCGGAGTGACGAAGGAGATTATAAAGACTTCCCAGCCCGCTTGCTTGAGTGCTCGCACGGAAGCACTCCACATCGGCCGGATCTCGTTCTCCTTCCCCAGCTGCAGGACTTGGTGCCAGTCCAAGCACAGCTTGGCCGCCTGGAGCACCTCAGCCCTATTTCTAGGGCCGGGAGCTGTGTCCGGCTCCGGCTCCTTGGCTGCTGGCACACCTTCGGCAGCAACAGCCTTGCCCTTGCCCTGAACTGCCTTGCCGACAGATCCCTTGGGCTGCTGCTGCTTCCCCTTTTTCAAGGGCTTCGGCTGCTGCTCCTCTTTCGAGGGCTGCTCGCTAGAGTTCCCCTTTTTCAAGGGCTTCGGCTGCTGCTCCTCTTTCGAGGGCTGCTCGCTAGAGTTCGAGCTCTTCGCACCCACTATCTCGATGCCTTCAGGTGGCACCGGGTCCAGCCGTGGTGGTGTGCGGGAGCGGCTGGCCTCGGAGGAAGTGCTGGTGGCTCGGTGCCGCCTTCCTCGCCGGGCTTCCCTCAAAACTACCGGCTCGGGCCTCGCTTCCATCAGCTCGTCCTCAGTCTCCTCAGCCCTGTTTCAAGGGCTTGCCTTGTAAGGCTCTTGAGAGCCCCACTGTTTCGAGTAGGGCTCCCACTCCTTTCCCCAGCTTGACCCCCACTCTCTGGTCCAAGGCTCTGCCCAGCCAGCACCGCTACTGTAGCTTGCTGGCTCCTGCGGCTTGTCACCCGACCACCACCTGGAGTCCTCGCCGTCGTCGTGGTCTTTTTCCCACCACTTGGCCTCCTCGCCTCTGTTTCGAGAGTCGCGGTGCTGGTGCCAGACCCGCCAGTCTTCTTCCCACTGGTTCCACTGCTCAGGGGTCCACCACTGCCCGACCCTATTTCTAGGGTCGAGCTTCTCCTCCTCCCTTTCAGCTGCAGCCTCCTCCCTTTCAGCTGCAGCTGCTTGAGAGTACTGCAGACCTCCTTGGTCCGACCCTGGGCCGAACCTTGCAAGGCGGTCTGCCTTCCTCTTGTTCGAGCTAGTCCCGGTACCTATAGGCTTCCCTTGCCTATTCTTGACTCCCGGGACTGCCCTTGAGGCGGGCATCCTGCTCAGGGTGCCCGAGCTCTTAAGCCCAACGGCAGCGGACACACCGGAGTTTTCTCTTGGGCTTGGGCTTCAGGGTGTCTAGGGGTACCTCGAACCTTTAGGCTTTTGGGGTCTCCAGGCTTCTACTTTTAAAAGCTTTGTTGGGCCTCTAGGCTACCTTACTCTGGGGGTGGCTAGGCTGAAAGGTTTTGGTATTGGTTCTTTAAGGGATATATTTTGGGAAGCCTGTTACCGGAAGCCCTTTTTCAAGGGCTCCAGGTGACTAGGGCATTAAATTATTGCTGGAGGCCCTTTTTCAAGGGCTCCAAGTGAATCGGGGCTTAAGTTTATATACCTATATATATATATCTATATATATATATAGCTGCGACACTATAAAATTTACGAGCTTACCGGCCGGGGTTTAAAGCTTCAAGGGAAACCCCAAACTCTAAAAGGCTTCACCCTAAGACCCCAGACCCCACACATGTTTGTGTGTGTGTGTGTGTGTGTGTGTGTGTGCGATTTTTCTGCCGCCCTGCCCCCCCCCCCACCCAAATTTGTCCTTTCCTCTCGTTTAGCACCGTTTAAAGAAAGTATAATAAAAACAGATTCCAGAACACTCTTCTAAATTAGAAAATAAGGAAGAAATATAAATATATATATATATATATAATATGGAATATATATATATATATATATATATATATATATATATTCCATAATAAGTATTTCCATCCCCGAACCCTTGTTTTTTAGCTCCCGGTGGCCTGAACGGTAAAGTCAGGGTGAGACGTGGCCAGCAGGGCCTCTTGCAAAAAAGCTACTTCTGCCCACCCTGTTTCCAGGGCGGGCAGCTGCACAGTCGACCCTGTTTCGAGGGTTCAAGACCCTCTCTCAAGGGCAGAGCTTCTTGCAGCCCCCCTCTCAGGGGTATTTTTTGCAAAGGCTGGTCCTCATTGCCTGGGCCTGGTCCTTCGTCATTTTCGGATCCTTTTCTAAGGCTTTCTTGATGATGTCGATGACCTTCTCGTACTGGCTTGTCCATCTTTCCGGCACCTCCGTGATCAGGAGTCGCTTGCCAGCCGGCCCCAAGGTACCAGTCAGGTAGCACCGGGCCGGCTTGCTGGCCTTGGTCTTCCTGACTGCTTTCCAGCCGCCCACGTGGCCGGGAATGGGCTGAGAGGCAGCCGGCTTTTTCAAGGGCTGCTCTTTCGGCTCTTGGCCCTTTCCCCGACCTTTCTTTGCCTTGCCTTTGCCCCTTCCTCGTCCCCTTCCTCTGCCCCTGCCTTTGCCTTTTGCAGGCTTGCTGCCTCCAGCAGCAGCACCCGTCCCACCACCGCCCATTGCCTCTTTCAAGGCATCAGCAGCCTCCTCTTCTGGCTCCTCTTGGCCTACCATTAAGCTCTGCCCAGCTCTTCTCTTCAAGAAAGACACCGAGCAGGGAGCTCGTCCCTTTGACAAAGCTTCGTCTGCACTCTCGAAACTGCTTGCCTGGCTTTCCCCAAACATTTTCGGGAAACCGTCCGAGTCCAGGGAAGGCTTGGGCCGCAGCTGCCTGCCTTCTTTCGAAGGCGGCTTCCTGTCTTCCAAGGCCAGCCTGGGTCCCGTTTCGGGGACCTCCTTGTCCTGGAACAGGTCCAGAAGCTCTTTCAGCTTCCGATATTCGAAAGCCGTGAGCTTGCTGGCTGCATTGCTCTTTCCCTCAACCTCTGCCCTCGCCCATTTTCGTGTGTGGTTCAGCAAGCAGCCGAGTCGCTCCCCTTTCAGGTTGCTCCACACCGACCCGTTGAAAGAAGAAGTGTTCACGGTCGGGTCATCTCTCATGAGCTTCAGCAGGGCCTGTCGGCTGGGTGTGGACCTCACCGGTCGGTTCGGCCCTCAGGAGGTCCCTGAGCAGGTCCAGGTTGCGAACCAGACCCTTTGGGTCCACTGCACCAGACCGACTGATTAGCTCGTAGGGTCCCAGGTCCTTGATGAGGTCCTTGTGGTCCCCCAGCACTTTCAACAGCACACCTTCGTCTGTGAAAGGCTTCGGGGTGTGCCTGGCCCCTCCTCGCCCCTTGGCGGCCATGCTTTCCACCCTGTTTCCAGGGCAGAAAGCTTTCCCTTCCCAGGATGCAAAAAACGGTCCTTAAGTTTTCGCTCTCCACCCTGTTTCTAGGGCAGAAACAAACTTGCCGTCCACTCCTTCGGAGCTCCAGCAGCCTACACCAGCTGCTCCCACCTCGCTGCAGGGAGCAGCACACTTGAGCCAAAGTTGCAGGCCGCCGGCAGTGCACATGCACTCATGTTTTCGGGCTACATATGTTTGAAATCGATCCCTGTTTCGAGGGATCAGGGAGCAAGAAAAAATCAATACCAGAATCAATCGGAAGTATCAGTAAAATCAATAGAAATAAATATGCCAAAATATATACTTCAACAGAGAAAAAATCAATATCAATATAATTGATATAATCAATATAGGCCATCAAAATCAATATCAATGGAAATTTATCCAAAAATACTGATTCTAATCAATAGCGGATGCTCAGGGTAGTAACTAAGAGGCAGCTGAGGCACAACTATACGGTGAGGTGTACTACGCACCGTTCTCGCAAGATGGCCTGCTTCAAAACAAGCTCCTGAGGCCAGCCGATGTGATCACCCAGAACCTCTGCATCACGTGCTGGGGGAGCCGCATCATCGGCACCCGGCAGGAGGACGAACTCTATACTTTTGGTTTTGGGTCGTCGGAGAAGCCCTGCATGTCTTCCAGGGATCTCCGCGTGTGGGCGTGCCAAATGCCCAATCTGTTGCCATTGCCACTTTACGAGAGGGGGTGGCGGCAACAGTAGCGGGAGGCACCGTCGCCACATTCGAGCACAGCACAACCCTCGATCGGAGGGCCGTGCGAACATGCACGTCGGAAACCTAAACCCTATGTTCCCTAATACGAGGGCTTGAGCTAGTGCATGGTGGTAGTAGCGCACTCGAGCGTGGCCCGGCAGCTTCCGCTGGTTGAGGTAGTTCTGGGTCTTGTCCGTTGTCTCCATCTGGTGGAGGTAGTCAGAGAGCGGCATCGGGGAGTGTAAGTAGATCAAGTGGTCAACGAGCTTCGAGGCCCGGAGCCGCACCTGTCAGGTGTCAGCACGTGTGCGCTCCGCAATGTAGTCATGGCAGGCTTTGTTTGAAAGGCACAGCTGCAAGAGGCTATTTTCATCCTCGGAAAACCTGAGGAATTTTTGGCCAAGGAAAAGCTGACGGCTCCCCGCTGTGGGGAATCGGAACCACATGTGGTGCCTGAACCCTGGGCGGAGTCTCCATATGCGAGGCAACTTTCAAGGGGTACGAAGTTCAGGAACCGCGGAGTCGAGGCTGGATGGGCTGGAGCTAGGCTGGGGCTTTCGGAGGCTTTGCGACCATCTGCTGGATCCGGGGCTGGCCGCATCTGCGGCGGGGGGTGATAGGCCGAACCTGTCAACGTAGGTCGAAGGCAGGAAAGGCGTACGTGTAGCTTGCATATTGCATAGGCTCCAAGGGGCAAGCTGCGCAGCGAGGCTTGGGCTGGAGAAGTTCTCTGTCAGGCTCTGTAGGCTCTGGACCCAGCCAGCTTGATGCCGAGGAGGTATGCATGTCAAGCCACCACCAGTAGACTAGATGTGCTGGTGCATTCGTCGTTGAGTTGGGACGGGCGTGCCCAATCTTGCATAGGCAGATAGGCTAAGATGCGGGGGCAAACTGTCCAAGAAAACAGGAACTCCTGGAAGCTGGTTTCCCGAGGCTGTCCCATGTGTCCAGGCAAAAGCAAGCTCTCGAGAAAGATCTGTAGATACCAGGATGTTGCTGTAGAGGCCATACGCACCGGGGCGAAGACGAAGCCAGGCACACGCACCCAGCGGGGTGGCAACGTCTCGTAGGCTGCAAGGCTGAAGCCGTGGGCTTGGCTGTTGCTTTGTGCTTGCTCCGACCACGGCGCGGCATGGCGGCGGGAAGAGAGTAGGTGTTTGGGGTCTTATATCTGACACGCAAGGCTGAGGTATGCGAAAATTCGGGCTCAGAGGCTCGAAGGTCAAACCTGACCCGATGCCGCGGCAGAAGGCGAGGTCGCTGGACCTGATCAGTCCGAAAGAGCCACGTATTCGTGACACTCGCTGCTGAGCCTGAGCCAAGTAGGCCCGGCACAAAAGAGCATGAGGCGGGGACCGACAGTGCAAGACAGGAGCAAGTCAGGCAGGCGGGGGCCTTGGGATTCGCCCATGTAGCCAAGCAAAGGCAGGCGGTCGTGCAAGGGTTGAAAGTGCCATTCGTAAGGCAGTATACGGATGGGCACAAAGTAGAGAACCGCGTCGGATGCTCGAGGGTGTGCATGGGCACCAAAGTGACTAACTCGGCTAGGCTAAATGCTCTGGCGGGGCCCAAGGGCAATATGACGGCGGCAAGCTAAGGCTTTGGCCGAGGGGAGTCTACCTTGGCTGCGGATTACCCTAGTCTGGCCTTTCGAGAATCTGATGTGCTAGAGCCAGTGCTGCGATTTTAGACGTGTAGAGATTCACAGCCTCCGAAAAATTTTCTTGGCACAAAAGCAGGTAACGTCGATAAGCCCGCTTGCGGGCGGAACAAATTGCACCTCACCACTCCAGATGTTTTCGAAACCAACTAAGCGAAGTCGAGGCCACGAAATGGAGTCGACAGGCGATGGTCGCACACTTGTGCCGTGCAGCCGCGCTGTGAGCTTGACTCTCGCACACTTGTACGGTGCAGGTTAGAGCCCAAGCCCTCACGGATGGACCGTGTCACTGGCAGTTGGTGTTGTTCACCCCACGACGGCCTAATTGCAGGTAGTTCACAATGTTCACAAAATTCGAAACGAACCTAAGCAGCTGAGTTACGCAGGGTGTAGTATGCCCGGCACAAGATCCATGTCGCTCCCATCCGGAAATAGTTTTCCAGGATGCAGGTGAACTCCGCATCGGTCATTGATCTACTTCCTGTAAGCATTGAGCTGCATGGCAAGATGACCATCTTCCTCCATCTGCGAATCATCATCAAACACGGTGGCCTGGTAAGCATCGTAGGCTAGCACACTGTGTCTGGAACGTCGGGCTCTTCTCCGTAGCCTTTGGGCTGTTGATCTTGCAATTTCTTCCAAGGCTCATAGCCCAGGTCATGCTGCGTGTTGTTGCCAGTTAGAAAAAGCCGCTCATTAACCTGCATTACGCTGTGGTGTTGAAGAAAACATGAGCGTACTCATCAACGGTGTGAGCGCGCAACGGCCTTGATCATCAACTGCTCTTGGCAAGCAGATTGGCACGCATAGCCTCAAATAGGCGGATGTCGCCACATCTGGCCTGAGCAGTTTGACGAATCCTATATATGCTTCGGGCAATGCTGCGTGCGTCTTCCGTGAGCCCTCCATAACCTCGACACACTCACTCATGTCCAGGTCGGGGTCCGCGACCTCTTTTAACGTCTCGCGTGCACGTTCTTTCTGTCTCGGGGTACACAAGCTACTCGTCGACCTCTGCCTGGTTGGGGTGGCTTCACCATGCTTGACCCCTCGTCGTATTAT